CGCCGTTGTTTCGTCCACCAGCAGCTCTCAAAACCCCGTCCGGTTGGTTGGCGACCGTTCGCAAACACACGACACAGACACGCAGGCTTCCAGGAGCCAATCGCCAGCAGATCCTAGAACGCCCGCCCCACCTTAGGTACTGGCCGTTCGACAGAGCTCTTCCTCGTCTCCTCTCCGCACACTCAGCCGTGTTGCCTTGGACATCTCTTGGTTCCCCGCCCTGCGCTACCAAGTGTTTGGCAGTTGCCATATTCGTACGGACCGAAACCGATCTCTCACCGGTACCTCTGTACTTGCCGCCCCTACCGCCCAGATAACCGCATCCAGAGCCTGTCTCCTATCACCTGATAGTTGTCCGGACAGGTCGCTGGCGTGGTGTTGCTTAACGCCGTGGTGCTCGCGGGCCAGGGAGACGCACTCTGACCTCGTGTCGAGCTGCTCCGGGGCCGTCTGTACTACCTACTACTAGGTCTAGAGTGGCCGGGGCACCTAGCACGGCCGACGTCAGATAAACGAGGGGTAAGGCATCACTCTTCCAGCCGGGCAAGGCTTCGTCTCTCCACGGTTGGATATAACAAGTCGAGGATGCTTGTTGAATCTCCAAATTCATCCATCATTCCACGCCATCGCACCCCACAAACCATTCCTCGGCCTTCTTCCTAGTCGACTCGTGCTCCCACCTCCTCATCTTCCCCCACTTCTCGAGACTGCGTGACTTTCATCCACATTATCTCATTACGATACCCCAATCCCTCCCAGGTAGCTGCTCCGGTTACTGCCTCTGCGGCTGCTACCCGCTCCCAGAGCGACTCCTCACCATGATGAGCCTCCAGCAGTCGATCGAAGCGCAGGCTCCTCCTCATACAGCCGACGAGAATGGGGAGACGCGGCAGCAGAAGCCCAAGACTTTGCCGTGCAAGTACTGCAGCAAACGCTTCAGGTGAGCGAACAGAATCTCTCCGCTGCCTCCGCTATTACATATTAGCTTACATTGGGCTTCCATATTAGGCGTGTGGAACATGTACAGAGGCACGAGAGAACTCATACGAAAGAGAAGCCTTTTTCCTGCGGCTGGGCTCGCTGTGGGAAAACATTTGGACGACGGTCAGTTAGCCCAGTTCCTTGATCACCCCCGTGGGATTTGCTTTTGGGGCCTTACCACGCTTCCACCACTCACCATGCACCTTTCCCGTTTCCGCTCCCGTGCTGTCACCGTCCGACCTGTACTTGCCAAACCGAATCCCACCCTCTAATCCCCTAGCACCTCCCACTTCTCTTTGGATGCTTCGGAATTCCCGCGCACATCAACGCTTCTCAGCTGCGCCCCAAGAAATATGCTTATATGGACATCAGTGATCTTCTTGTCCGCCACGAAAAGCTCGTCCACCTCAATGAAGGCAATAAGGACGGTGGCCGGCCTCGGAAGCCGTCTTCGGCCGGCGCCGTCACCGGTGCGTCCGATAGTAGCCATGTCGACAGCGAGATGCTGGGCATGCAGCAACGGCCGCCGCCGCCACAGTATCATACCGAGAGTATGGCTTCGGCAGTAGCGTCATCACATGCTCCCGATCCACGGGTAGCTGCACGAGCACCTGCTTGCAACCTCGACCTCTTATCCGATGCGGCGACTCACCTGGCGTCGGGCGGCGAAGTCAGTACCATGCAGCAAAGCATGATGCCGGGCTTGGCTCCGCCACCACCCGACCTCGGACGGGTCAAGCAGCAGTACGATGAGGGGATGCCGTACGGAGATCGCGGACGAGAGCAGGATCCAGGTGTTATGTCAGGAGGATACCCGGCGCAGCCGCCACAGGCGCCATACGACGACTTCAACCTTTTCCTCGATGACTATGCGACATCTTCCCATTTCCTGCCACCCGGACTGGAAGCCGAGCAATCGTTCGGAATGTGGCCGCGTTCCGGCGTAGAGCTTGGACAAAGAGGGCCGTCGAAACCAGCATCAGCATTTCCGTCGAGATTCCCCTCTCTTCAGCCAGACCCGAGAGATGGTGCGGATGGAGCAGCCAGGATGCACGAAGAGGGTATGAGAGCGCCAGCTTGGAGGATATCGACCATGGACCATAACGTCATTAGGAACAGACTCGACGAGTTCTCCTCTGTACTTCCAAATGACTTCGTCTTTCCGTCACGACACACTCTGACCCGATTTTTGGAAGGGTATATCAGTGGCTTCCATGAGCATCTTCCATTTATTCACATCCCGACGCTGGCTCCAACGGAACTGTCGCCTGAGTTGCTACTGGCAATTTTAGCGGTTGGAGCCCAGTACCGATTCGAGACCAACCGAGGCCACGCGTTATGGTATGCCGCAAAAGCAGTAGCGCTGGAACAAATCAGGAGGAGACACAGTCACGAAGTACATGGTCTTCTTCCGACGGCGGCGGCTTACAGCCCTCACTCCACTCGTCCGTCTCCGAGCTCTGGCTTCCGTCACTCGTTTCCGTCGGCTCTCCAGGACCGCCCCATGACACAAGACACACATCGCGAGCCATAGTAAGTGACCCCTAGGTGTCTGACCATTCTCGGTACACATGTGCTAAGTCTTGATAGCTCTCCAAACACACCCCAGTCGAGGCTGGAAACCATCCAAACTCTCCTGCTCCTTTTCGCTGTCGGCCTCTGGGGTGCCAAAGCGATCCTCCACGAAGCATTCTCCATCCAGAGCCTGCTTGCTCTTTTGGTCCGCGAGGAAGGCCTCCATGCGGAGCCCAATCAAGCGATGGACTGGGACACATGGATTCGACTTGAAGCAAGCACTCGAACCAAGCTCATTGCGTACTGCTTCTTCAACCTGTGCAGCATTGCCTATAACACACCACCGCTATTGTTGACATCGGAGGTGGATCTGTTCTTGCCGAATCCGTCTAGGTTATGGCGAGCGGAGAGCGCCTGGCAATGGCAGGACGCACGGCAGTCATATCCGACAGCCGAAATACCACTTCAGGATGCATTTTCGAGACTGTTGAATCGACCATCTCAGGGACCGCCATCGCCCGTGTCGTCGCTAGGCAACTATGTCCTCATACATGCGCTAATCCAGCACATTTATCTGCTCAAGCAGACGTCGTTCGCAAGCCTGTCGCCGTTCGACGTCCATCGCGGTCTGAAACCGGAGGATGTTGAAGAAGTCAGCCAGGCATTGCGTGTGTGGACGATCGGGTTCGAACAGCATCGTCAACTCCGGGCCAACGAAACAGGACAGCAGATGATTGGAGACCCCTTCTCAGGAGGCCCAGTCGCATTCAACTCGACTGCGTTGCTGAGACTGGCGTACATGCGTCTCTACACTGATCTGAATCCTAGCCGAGGACTCGAGACGCGCGACCACGTCTTGATCGCGTCGTCATTTAGCCAGGCGCCTATTCTGGTGCGGAGTCCTCGCCTACACCGAGCTGTTGTTCAGGCCATCCATGCGCTCTCAATGCTGGTCAAAATGGGCGTTAACTATGTGGCGAGGACAAAGTCACTCGAGTGGAGCATGCAGCATTCTTGTGAGTATCCCATCTTATGCGTCAGACGATTGTGCCTCGCAGTAGAAGCATATTCCCGAACTTCCGCTCTCCCTGTTTCATCACGCTAATCTCTTCACACAGTGTGCAACCTCGAATGTGCCGTCGTCCTGTCGAAGTGGCTCATGACCCTTGCGTCGATCGGTCCCAACGAGCCGCCGGCCTCGGTCGAAGAAAAGAACCTTTTGGAGATGGTTCGTCGCATGCTGGACGAAACCGAATTCGCCGTCCCCATCGACCCGTCCCTCTCGGGGCCGAGCGTCCATGGTCACCACCATCAACACAACCGGTCGATGGACATGTCGGGTACGGATAGCACAAAGCTCCGTCAGTTGGCAGCGGCGGTCATTCGGCTATGGGCCGAGACATTCAAGGGCACGCATATATTTGCCATCATTCGCATTATGGGTGCGGGACTGGAGGGCTATGCGGACATGGTCGAGAAGCCGCGGGACCGGACGCCGTTGGGGAGGATGGCTCCGAATGCCGGTATGGGGTAGCGCCCGTGGGATGTATCGGATGTGATCGGCTTGTAGTCATTTTTTGGATCCTTTGGCGTTTTCCGCTCCGTCCACCAGTTCATGTTTTAGTTTTAACGTACTTCCTAGTCCTCGGTTTGGACCAGGGACAAGGAGAGGCAAGGAGTCGTAGAACCTCTCCAGGGAGTCGGTAGATGGAGTTTGTCGGCTGAGCTTGCGGTTTCTGAAGGAGCGATGTCCGTCATAGCAGGGCTCCGTCTGCTCGACTGGCAAGCCTATCCGTATGGGCTGTCGAGCACAGGACGGGTGCTCTGTTCTTGATGTGTGTGAGCCAACTCGGACCGCCATGTCGATCTTTCGAATGACCGTGTATATATTACGTTGTCCACAATGGCTTGTTGACTCCTCGCAACGGACTAGGCGGGATTCATAGCTAGACCGGATATCTCAAAGACGGCATGCTTTTGTTAGACTGACGTGATAATCAACTACACCATCGAACTGAGGATGTTGAGATTTCTGAAGCCTAATCCGCTTCACATGCGGCAAGTGCCAGCACCCAAAACGCGGTAGAGAGACGAGTCCCACTGTTAGCGCACACTGGTATTTGCGCTCGAGGGTCACTAACAGCTAACACGTCGAGCTGACAACGGATCGTCAGCCAAATCGGTGGTATAGGAGTCGCAAAGTTCTCGTTAGTGTCATTAAATCGTCCTATATTCTAGACCGCATCTACGATACCTAGAAGGTATGTGCAAGACATCGCTTCTTAGCAGTCTTTTCTGCTCAGGGGCAGTTTCTACACCCGACGACGACGCACTAGAACTAGGGGAAGAAAAAAAAAAGACCCTCTCTTAGCCTTTGAGCGCTAAGACATTACCAGCAATAAAAAACCATCCGTCTACATAGTACGTTGCAGCACCGCACAAGACCCCGAAAAAAACCAACTGCCCCTCCCGTAGGTCGTCGCGACGGCAGCAAAAAAGACAATCTCCCCCTCAAAGGCTTGAACTTTGGACCTCCTGATGTTTGCTGCTGCGTCCCAAGGGACGACGTGGTAACAGTCAGACGCTCTAGCCAACTGAGCTAAGGAGGAAACAGGCTGATGGATGCGATGGCTGGCGGGCCTGGTAAACGACACCAACAAGGTCCTCGCTCTCGAGAGTCGGAAGCGTAGAGCTACGGAGCAAAAGGAATATCTCCCCCTCACAGGTTTGAACTGTGGACCTCCTGATGTTGCTGCTCGTCCCAAGGGACGGTGGTAACAGTCAGACGCTCTAGCCAACTGAGCTAAGGAGGAAGAATCGGGGCTGGGACACACATCGTATGATGGCGCCGGATGGAGGGTGGTGGGTGTATTGCGGTTTGTCAAGAGTAGAGGGTTTGGTGTGAAAAATAGGGTAAGGGTGGGTAAGGTGTGGGTATTCCTTGCGGGTTGGCGCAGATTGATTTGCATTGGTGTGGATGCGAGTCATGTTGACGCGCCTGTGGGAAAAAAAGCCATTCGTGAATCGTGACGAGACATGAGAAAGACGTAAATGTGCTGTGATAAAAAGTCGACGGCCATGAAAACGGCGTCTTGTGTGCCTGTATTCCCAACCCGAGCGCCGTTGCGCGCCTAATCCCCCTTGTAATTGATTGTGTCTGGTATCTTCAAACGCCGAAAGGAATCCCGTTTCATTGACCAAAAGAAACCCCAACTCCTGCCTCCAACTCCTGCCCAAATGCAAAAAAAGTCTGACCAAACCGCCCTGATCCGGTCCGGCCGTTGTATAGGGGTCATTGCTTGAAGTATCCCGTGGACTTCATATCTTGCAGCGGCGGGGCCTGCCGAATGCCGAAGTCGTCGAACCTCATCCCGCTGTCCTCCGCTCTCCTTGGGCCCGAGGTCGTCCGCGAGCTCCCGGGGGTGTAGGGTGGGAGGTTGGGCATCGGCCGTGAGCCGTCCGACACCAGTGCCGCGGACTCCTCGTCTAGTGGCGCGGCTGCGAGCGGCACCGTCGTGTATACCTGCTGCATTTGCGGTAGGAAGTTGTTGTTGGTGTGTTGGTGGTTGGGGCGGTACTGCATCCCGTCTGCGACCATGCCTGCGTCGGATAGTGAGGACCTGTCACTCTCCTCTGGGAGCATGGGCATCGGTTGTTGTCGCGGGGGTTCCGGCTGGTCTGCCTGGCTGGAGTAGTGGTGCTGCTGTGAGGGTCCATGTCGCATCCCGTCGGCTACTAATGCGTCGTATTCCTCGTTGTGAGGCTCGTCTCGGGTCTCCGACACTTCGTCTATCGGACTGGGTATTCCTTGCAGGCCGGAGGTCCGATTCGGTACCGGGCGCCGGGGTATCATCGGCGGAGAACCGTTAGGCGCGGCCCCGGAATGGTTTGTGGTGGCGACGCTGCGTATCGACGTCTGGCGAGTGATGATGCCTTCGCTCGGAGGTGGGATGAAGCGTGGGGCGGTCATTAGCAGGGGGGACTGCTGCTCCTTCTCGTTCGCGCGCTCTAGCGAGTCGAGGAGCTCGTTGACGCGCGTGTTCTTTGTGTAGCTGGCCTCGCATATCCGGAGTACGGACAGTACGATGGTGATGATGAGAGTGAAGATTAGGCCAATCGCGATGAAGTATACTGAGCGCTCGAATGCGCAGTACCTGTCGAGCTCTCCCTTGTGCCCTTGCATCTCGTCGCTGAAGCGGATAGTTGTATAACCATAGCCTGGCTTGTCTGGTCGATCATCGGGGCCAACTATAGATCATAAGCAGGCTGGACCGCAGTAGCGAAGGAAGGAGGAACGTACAATCACCGCTTGTCAATCCGACGCACATCACGGGTAGACCGGCGCGTGCCAGGACAGTGATCAAACCAACGACCGCGCCGATGAACATGGCGTCGCTGACGATGAAGCACGTAAGCCATCCCGAGCGTCTCGAACGGCCGCCGGTATGTTGGATGATGAGAGCTAGCGTCGTGTAGATGAGCGTGATGAGAATCTGAGGGAAGCATCTTGTCAGTTGGAGGCAGGAGAAACCGAGTGCCGGAATCATTCAACGGACCATTAGTTCATTTACGACCATGTTCTTCCCCAAGCCCAACTTCTTGAGATGGATCCAGGCGACAAGAAAGCCATTCATTAACGCGGCAGCCAGAGTGGCCACCAGCTGGAAGGTCCTGGTGAGGACCAGCCAGTTTGAGAGTTCCCAGGCCATTTCTGCGATGATTGATGCTTGGAAGGCAGAGCGTCAGGCTTCCGAAGCAGAACAGAGAGGCATGGAGATGGAGAGTGGAATTAGCAGAGAAGATGCGACATAAAACAAAACAGACAATCGAAGAACAACTCTGGTCTAGATTGTCACCCAAAAAATGACGGGTATCTTAGTCTACCCGGGCTCAAGAGCTGAGAAGAGGGTGATGGGGCTGTGTGCATGTGGGATATGGAGCCGATCAACGGCGGTCAGCGTTGCGATTTGCTGGTGCGCCGAGAGAGTCGGAGACGGGTAACTAATCCTTCTCTGTGCCTCCGGACACTAGGACAAACACGTTCGTGTAGCGGGAAACTGTGCAATTCCTGAACGCCGTCAGACTGCCGGTGCAGCCCATCTCCTGCGGACTCCATCATGGAAAAGTGTTTCGAAACAAACTTGCTCGAGTCTGTCAGACTTGTGCTCGACCGTCGTTGGTCCTGCCTGTCACATCGCGCCATCTGGTTTGACATCATAACGAGCTGAGCAGGGAACACAGGCGTCTCGCTGGTAAGGCTCTCTCAGGAACGAGAAACCATCGCCCAGAAATATGCCCTAGTGGATTGAGGGACGCGTCATCGGCAGCCACGGAGAATGAACCGTCTGGTGATGGTGGTGCTAAGAAGAATTAAGGTTGGGCTTAGAGGGAATCGGATAGCGGGTCCGAACAGGGGAGGAGCACAGCCTCCAGCCCAACTCGCACCAGTTGCCCAGGTTCCTCGACACTTTGACGCTTAGAGCTTGGGGGCGTCGGACATAATTGGGCGCTCCTCATTGGCCAATTCACCACAACTTGACAGAAACACGGGTTCGGCAGGGAAGCCAGGACTTGGCTACGACGGGCCAGGCAGCAACATTCAGCTCTGCATACTCTATCCCTCCGGTTTCCCCAACCCTCAATCAAGCTTTGGTGTATGCCATTCTGCACCACGTATATACACCTTTGACTCGTCTCTGATCAGTTGTGCTGCCTGTTCGGTGGGCCGGACTGGTAGAAGCCTGAGATATGGCGGTCCAAGAGACTGAGAAGGAGACGTGGAGTCACGAGTCTCTTCTCGAGTCTGCACGAGACTCGATCTCTCCAGGAAGCGACGAAAAGCCGGTAAAGACGCCAAACAAATTCCTCGAGGCATCATCAACGGCCATCCGATCAGTGCAACACGGCTTCTGCAAGGTTTCGTCGGTCTCGGTGCGACTGTACAGGCACAGTTGGCCCAAGGTGTCATCCGCTTCCGTGCGATTGTACGAACGTGGCTGGCCCAAGGTCCGATCGAGGACAGTCCGGATATACCAACATGTCTCTCCAAAGGTATCTTCGGCCTCAGTCCGACTTTATCAGCGTACCTGGCCCAAGGTCTCGTCGACTGCGTTCCAATTGAGCCAGCATGACGACTCAGAGACCTCGTTGGCCCAGGGGCCGTTGCCACACCGGGCCCGACTCGAGATCGCGTCGATGACGCTGCGGTTATTTCAATTGCTTTCGGCTCTTTACGTATTCATGTCCGTCACTGAGAGCTTCCGATCCAAGATTACATACGATGGCCGTATCCGTCAAATACAGCCTATGGTAAGCGGACATCCATTTTATACCAGACTTACCGTCATTCAGGTCGATATGAACTGACTCCGCCTCGCAGTTGCTGATAACACTAATCTATTCATCACTCGCCATTGTTTGCTTCCTTTTGCTCAATCTGGTCAAGAAGCTCAGAGCCTCAGCATGGCACATAGTTGCCATATCCTCCGTCCCAGGGGACGTGTCAATGACCTGCCTGTTCATCGCCAAGGATGTTATCTTTGGAGTCCACTCGTTCGAGTGTGCTGCGGCGTCGGGCACCATCAGTGCCATCAAGCAGTACGCTACTCTGCAGGATATGAATCCGCTGGAGCTCCGGAGCTTCCTTGACAACAAGCCATCCGCTGGATTATTCATAGGTTCAACAAGAGATTCGTGCCTGCTGTCGTCTAGCGTCTATGTTGTATGCGTTCTCGCAGCGTAAGCCAACTTGTACCGCGCATAAAGGTTATATAACTGACCTTTCACAGGCTTTCTTATATTGGATCGGTGACCGTCACCGTCCGCCAGTTCCTAACCTACCGAAAGGCTGTTTCAGCTGTGGGTGGTGGCCAATATCCAGGCCACGTCGAGCAAGCTATTCCGGCGACTACATCGTGGGCACCTCAGATGGTTACTCAGATGGCACCTCAGATGGCACCTCAGATGATCCAACGCGGACCCTTGATGTTCGAACCCACCCCCCCGAGGACGGAGCTGCCGGAACCACCCTCCAACGCAGAACCATCAAGTAGCACCACGCCTTTCCTACCACCAACTATGCCACCCTCGCAGGATCCAAAGTATGCAAATATGCCAGCCGGCCTAGTCGAGAGTATGGTGATCGCACCTCCGCGGACCTCTTACGAGACCACCTCCTCGATGGATGCCGACCAGTACATGGTGTCCGACGGTTTCAGACCTTGCGAACGGGCGCCAAGCTACACGTCGAGTCGTGAATCCAGTCCGGGTCCTCCGGAGTATAGGAGCCGGCCGCCTAGTTTACACACCGTTGTGTTAGTCGGACCTGATAGAGCGCATGGCTCATAGTAGGCTTTGCGGAATACTACATTCTGCACGCGTTGTTAGCGTTGGCCTCCCATCTATCATTCGGCTAGCGACGACACATCGACCATTGAAGGACCTTGGAAGACCGTGCCGGTGGCGGACACCGCTTTCGCTGCGGTCTAGGGCGTTATAGCGAACCATTGACATTGTTTGCGCTTTGTTCGGCGAGAGGCATTGCTGCTGATTCAGAGCATGCTGAGGAAGCATCGAATATCAGGATATGCGATGTACTGCAGATGTTCAG